TCCCCCAGCCTGCTGAGAGGAGGGGGAGTGCATCCGATTGCAGCTCGGGGGGGAGTTGCACGAGCGGGAACTATGGGCAGGCGGGAGTAGAATTAGGAATCGAATCGGAGCCTTTCCAGCGCCATCTGCTGCCACTTAGGTTGTGAACAAGGCTCTGTCATCCCCTTGGCTCTGCATGTCCTCTCTGCTAAGTCCTGTCAGTTTTCCCTCTCTGAGTAAGTTCAGTGGAGGGTTTTCTTTCTACTGAGCCCCTCGCGTGTCCCTCCAGGTGCCCAGGGGCACACCTGCCCCAGCAGATGCTTGGACATATCCAGGACATGTAGTTAATAAGAAGCCATCTTCGTTTTTGGGTCACGGCAGAAATTAGAGACTGAGCTGTCGGGCAAAACTGCAAATTCCTTGTAAATTTGTTCCATTGACTGACTGAAATGGAAAGAAGAAAATATTCGAGGCCCACCTAGAGGCCTGGAAACATGTAAAGCTGCAATGTTTTTTTCTGAGAGATGCTGCTGGCATATCGCCCAGCTGGTCCACTCCATTGTTATGGAACCTCTCCTGATGTGCATGCGTGGGGAAAGGGGGCGTCTGAGGGTTATGTTGAAAAATCTCTTATTTATTTATTTTTTTAAATTCAGTGAAATAATTTTGCACCACCGAATCCGGCAGCCGCCCAATCCTTTATCGCCTCAAATCCGAGAGTTTGACGCACGAGTGAAAAAAGGAGAGGCAATTTCCGAAGACGAGGTTAAGAAGTGAGTGAAAAGACACCCGCAGGAGCGCGGTGGCTGTGGTTGGCTGTACTGGCGCGTGGGTTGGTAGGAAACAGCCAGTGCCTGTAGGCAGCACAATGCAAATCGCCATCCGCGAGAGCGTTGGGATGCAGTTGCTGGGCCAGATCCTCCGCGGCTGTAAACCGGCATAACTGCACGGAAGTCAATGGAGTTACGCTGATTTGCACCAGCACAGGGTCTGCCCTGCTTAATCTTTGCTGAGGTTGGAAACTTGACATGGAAGAACGACCCGCGTCACGTTCCCGAGATTTGCTTTCAAAACCAAATCCAGCCCGCTCATGTTCAGACTGTAGCCCAGACCGGGCTGCGGAGACAGGAGCTCTCTGTGCCCTCTCGGGGAGCGTGCATTGGATGGAGCGGCTTCGGGAGTGAGCTGAGCAGGGGGGTACTGTCTCGGGGGGAGGCGCAGCAAGCTGACAGTGCTTCTAGAGCCAGTTTCTGCCAAGAGGGCTCCTCCTGTGTGGCCCAGGAGACCCTGGGCTGGGGAACGAAGGGACTGGGGATGTAGAAGATTTTGGACTGTTTGGACCCTGAAGCTGTTGTCAGTCCACCGGGGGTCTCCAGCAGGGCCTGTCGGAACCCCTGTGACCCTCTGGGAAGACGTGTCCCCTTTCCAGTGGAGGAACTGAGCACAGGCACAAGTGACACCCCCCCGGGGCCAGCGGTGCGGAATCTGACACCCTTCCCCTTCCCCTGCAGGCACAAAGGCCTGTTGTCAGAGGCCCGGGCGTGGGAGCTGCAACGCCACAACGTCATTCTGTGCACGTGCTCGGCCGCCTCGGCCGCCTCCCTGGTGGAACATCTCAACGTCAAGCAGATCCTCATTGACGAGTGCGCCATGTCCACCGAGCCGGAGACCCTCATCCCTCTGGTCAGCTACGAGAGGGCCGAGAAGGTGAGTCCCTCCCGATGGCTGGGCACGAGGGCGCTGGGCGTTGTCCCTGGAGCGCTCCCCATGCCCTGCGCTCGCCCTAGGCCAGCGGCTGCGCTGGGGGTGGGATGTTGGGCGCTGGGGCTGGTGGCTGCAGTGGGATCGGGAGCAGGGGAGGGGCTAAGGCAGCTCCCTGCCTGGCCTAGCCCTG